CATAATGTTTAACGTAGCTGACACGCATCACAAGCTCACAGATTGTAGGTGATATCGTCCTGTAGAGTTTAGCTCCAACCCAACTCACCATCCTTCACATAGCTTTAGTAATCCTTAAGATGTTGAGGTGTGTTTGATTAGGGTTGGAGAAACTACAATTGGTAGACAACCAAAATAAGGCTTTTACCGCCGCCATTCTGCCATGGCAATAAAATTTGGGGTGTATTTGCTGCCTTTTGCCGCTAAGAGGCGCTACAATCATAGACTTTGTTGCACCACAACGGAAATGGAATTTCCGGTTTGTCTGTGGTGGGCTGGAACACTTCCGGTCACTGCTTCCGTCAATGGCACTCGCTTACTTAACCGACCGTTCAGCGTAGTGTAAAAGAAAAACACGAGTGTTTTTGATATTAAAACAGGTGTCATACCGAATTACGACTCGCGGACAAATCGCACGTCTTTTCGCGTGCACGCGCCTCTCACATAAATACGCGCTGAAGCGAATTTGAATGCAATTCCTTTGCCATATGCGTTTATCGATTGATTTCTCACAGCAAGCACCCAGATCCTCTATGAAAGCTTTGTAAATTATCAGACAGTGAACTAGTGTGGATAAAAGATGCAAGCAAACAAAAACCCATGGGAGATCGATTCAAACTATAAACTTTGACGGGTAAAGGCAGCCCATTAAAGCTACCAGCTGTCAAAACATTAGGCTACTGTTAATTTGACATAATTTAACTGAATGTAACTTTTGTGTGTAAAACACCATGTGTTTCATAGGAAAATATTGTATTACTCTCCCCATTGCACATGAATGTCATTAAAAATAACAATATTTAACCTTTTTCATGAAAATAGGCTTATAAACAAATTATTATTCATGCACTGAATCTTTATTTTTTTTTGTAATATTGCAGCAGTTTTTCTTCAAAAAAGGGCATCTGAACAGAAAACAATTGCTCCAGCTATTTTAATTGTATTTCCATAAGCAATCCCAGCTAGAATTTTTTTGTTCTGTTCTGTTTTCAGCGGGGAGTTTTGTTTTTTCCCAAAAAGAACATTGTATAATCTGTTATCTCAACAACATTACAAAAACATCCTCAAAATATTACAGTTAAAACATCCATAAAACATTATTTGAACATTACATTTAAATGTTTTCTTTAAAACAGTGCCTTGTATGGCTTTACAAGTTTAAACCAAACTTGTAGGGAATGTTAGCCAAAGTTCTGAGAACGTTCCCTGCTAGGATGCAAAATGTGCAATTGAAAGAATAAATTAAATAATTTTTTTTGTGGCCCTAATGTGCCAGAAAATAACTATATATATATATAAAGTCTAAGGTTTCTTTACATCCTTAGCTTTATTTATTCTTAGCTTTAATGATCACATTATTATAATTATCAATTATAATTTGTTTTATTTCTATTTTTAAGATGCAATTAAGCAAAAACAAAACAAACATAAAAACTGGTATTTGCCTCATATAGGCTATCGTCTACTAGGCCTATATACAATATACATGCATGTATTTTATGAACTAAGCCTATCTTCATAAAAAAGTTAAATAATATTATTTTAATGACAATGGGGAGAGTAATACAATATTTTCGAACCACATCGTGTTTTACACACAAAAGTTACATTCAGTTAAATTATGTCAAATTAACAGTAATGTTTTGACAGCTGGTAGCTTTATAATGGGCTTTACCCGTCGAAGTTTATAGTTTGAATCGATCTCGCATGCGTTTTTGTTTGTTTGCATCTTTTATCCACACTAGTTCCCTGTCTGATAATTTTTGTAAGTAGACAAAGCTTTCATGCAGGATATGGGTGCTTGCTGTGAGAAAAAATCAATCGATAAACGCATATGGCAAAGGAAGTGCATTTAAACTCGCTTCAGCGACTGAGAGGCGCGCGCACGCGAAGGGGCGTGCGATTTGTCCTCCAGTCGGAATTCAGTACAAGAACACGTGTTTTATGGTGCGTTCTATTATTCATCCGTCTCGGAGATCCGAATCGGACGACAGACGTTGCCTAGGAACACGCCCCCTTTCCTCGGATTTCTCCTCTCGGACGTCGGACCACCGTGAGGACACCGAGCAGAATTCCGTTTCGGAATTCAAGATGGCTGCGTCCAGTGACTTGTAAGAATGAATTGTTTTCATTGTTTTTGAACCGCAAATGACGGTTATAATCACTGGTATTACTGCGTCACCTGTAGGTATGGGAATCGGTTGTTGTGAGTGCAATTACTGACGTTGCTAGCGTTGCTAACAGAAGATTAACATGAAAAACATTAATAAAGTGAACATTTTCAAGTTCAAATGGCTGCGTTTTAATAAGGTGTAGTCATAATATATATATATTTTTTTTTAATGTAAGTGACTGGTACTCGGCCAGTGCTACCATTATAACAGCTTTCCGGTTGGCGTCCATTTTTTTCTCCGACTCGGACGCGCAAAACAAATAGAACGCTTGAAGTGTGGACGTGACGTCAAATCCGAGGTCCGAGTCGGTTCGTTGGCTATAATAGAACGCACCATTAATACCAGAAACAAGACTCGTGTTTTTCTTTTACACTACGCTGAACGGAAGCAGTGACCGGAAGTGTTCCAGCCCACCACAGACAAACCGGAAATTCCATTTCCGTTGTGGTGCAACAAGCGAATCTGCAGCCACGCTCATTCATTGCGATTAAAAGCTGGTAGCAGATTAATTCAAGTGAAACGTAGTTAAATTAATTAATAATCACAATACTGAAATTAATTTGAATAAATAATGAAAACTTAAAGCATATGATTTATGGGGATTATAAAACAAGGAGTTGGTGGATTTTGTTACCATTATACTGTAGGCTGGTTGTTTACACACACTGTGGAAACACCTGCGTTCAAATAAAAGTTGCATAATAGGTCCCCTATATTTTGTTTAATAGGTCCCCTTTAAATAATTTTTTTGCAAATAAAATAATGTATGCATAGTGCAGCCTCTTTCCTGTCTTTATACATTCTTATCATTCAGGCCAGCACTCTTAAAGGTCCTGTATTATGCCCCTTTGCACAAGATGTAAAATAGTCTCTGATGTCCCCAGAATGTGTATGTGAAGTTTCAGCTCAAAATACCCAACAGATCATTTTTTACAGCATGTTTAAATTGTCATTTTTGGGGGCTCAGAAAAACGTATTAGTGTGCGCCCTTTAAATGCAAATGAGCTGCTGCTACTGCCGGCACAGGGGGCGGAGCTTCATGAGCTCGCGCTCAGTCTCTCAGGACAATTTCATCTCACGGAATGATGATAATATCAGAAACTCTCAGTAACGGTGTTCATTTCCAGTTGGACAATAATGCCTACAGATTCAGAGTGCTGTATAGAGATGGAACAGGTATAGTTTAGTAGTTTAATTACGGTTATTATAACGTATTTGTCATCTGCTTGGATGTATCCATTATTTATTAATAGCCTACAAGTCTGCTGTTTCGGACCAGGTCCGAATGATGATCAATATACTGATGAGTTTAATAAAGTTTATTGTACATTACACAAAAGATGAAGCGTCAGTTTTACTTCAGAAAATCACCGTAAGAGCTGAGTAAACACAGTAAGTTATAAGTGCAAGTTGAGGGAGCATTCCTGTGGGCGGACGTTAGTCAAACAACTGTTCTACTGACGTCATTAAAGAAGGAAGTAGAGGGATGTAGTCCAAACGGGCCGTTCGATGTAGGCTACTTCTGTTAAATAAATATCTCGCTTGGCATTGAACTTTGAGCTTTATAATATTACAGACAACATTAAACATTATAATATTACAGACTAACAACAACATTACACACTAACTTAAGGTTGAAACATGGGATCACGAAGAACGGGACCTTTAAAATCTAAGTGTAATTATTGAGTGAAGCCTGCTCCTACTCTCATTCACAGTGTGTGTAACAACCAGCCTATAATGGTTAAAATCCACCCAATCCTTTTTTTAAATCCCCATAAATCATAAATATTTTCTCAAAACAAGCAATTCCAGATTTCTTTCTACAATGATGTCAATGTAGGGAGAAATCTGCAATCGCTTGTTTTGAGAGAATGTTTATGATTGTTTTTGAGAGACCCGCCACTGGTGACCATCTCCTATTAGCATAGAAACAGCCCTGAGTGAGAGGCACAGATTCTGCCATTGTTATACTGTTGTTAGAACAGGTAGTGCTGGGATAGACAATATCGGCCCTGGATTGCAGCTGTTCTGCATATTTTAGCTTTAATCTTAATCAAACACACCTAAATGTTTTCAGGATTACTAAAGCTACTTGAAGGGAAGGTGAGTTGAGTAGGAGCAAAACTCTGCAGGACAGCAGCAATCAGGACTGACCATCCTTGAGCCTATTATATGTCTTAGCTACGTAAACATTATAACTGATCTGTTGATGGCTGTAATAATAAACATGACTTTCCATAAACTCCTATTTCATTTATGAAGGGAATCTGTCCAAGTAAAATCATATACTAGTATGAAAGTTACCAGATTACTTTGCACATGAGGGTAAAACACAGGATTTTCACTAAAGTTGATTCTGAAAGATGCATCGATACCAACTTTTCATGATCCAATTTCATATGCATCATGTGATGTTAACAAATTGCCTTTCTGAATGTGTTTCGCTAGCAAATCTCCAATGTACAATCAATATCAACAACATCAACATCGATTATTTTTGTTAATTTCAATATTGATTCCGCATCGCTGATGTAGAATCATTCATAGTGTAATTTCGCACTGATTAGACAACTCTCTTAATATTAATGGCTCATTCAGGTCAATTCTGCACAACAATTACAGTATATGAGATTAATTCTTTTTAAAGACTTTTTAATAGCAGTATTACTAATAGCTGGAAAGTAACGATCAAATATTATTTTCAGGTTGTAGATCTCTTCTCTACTTCCTACAGTTAATGGTACAGTTGTGTATCTTCATCATGTTTTGTAATGTTTTATTTAGGCTCAGTAAGTGTGATCTAACAGAACAAAGCTGTTCAGCTCTGGCTTCAGTTCTCAGTTCAGACTCCAGCATTCTGAAGGATCTTGACCTGAGCAATAATAATCTGCAGGATTCAGGAGTGAAACTGCTCTGTGGTGGACTGAAAAAAAACTGTAAACTGGAGAAACTCAGGTTAGATGGTTCATTTGTTTGCATCTATATCCTATTTTTTCTATTCTCTCATTTTTACAAGAAAGAAACAGTAATTCACAAACCACTTCCATTAGGGCTTAAAGGACAAGTTCGGTATTTTACACTTAAAGTTACATTTACATTTACCAAAGGCTTGTGTTTTATCCACTGGGCCATCACCACCCACTTAAAGCCCTGTTTCAAGATCAACCAACCAACCAAGGTGCAACCAAAGAAACCGAAATTTCTCGGGACAGCAGCATTTGTCCAAATTTTAATCTTAGCCATTTTATTAAATCAGAAACAATCTTCAAACAGGGCTTTAAGTGTAAAATACCGAACTTGTCCTTTAAAATTCTTCTGGTAATTTTAAGAAAAACTGGTTAGTAAGATGAATGTTACTTTTCATTCCTGTTGTAGACTTTCAGACTGCACTATCAGAGAAGAAGGTTATAAAGCTCTGGCTTCAGCTCTGAGATCAAACCCTTCACACCTGATAGAGCTGGATCTCACAGGAAATGATCCTGGACAATCAGGAGTGAAGGAGCTCGATGATCTACTACAGGATCAGGAGTGTTCACTGAAAACACTGAGGTGAGGTTTTTTTTTTTTTTTTTCTTAATAATTAATGTGCAGTAAATTTAAATTAAAATGTTTTAAGTTACTTATAAAAATTATTTATTTGTCACTTTAAAGGTGCATTGCGCAACATTTCATGTTAAAAATAGCCGTTTTCTAACCCATACATGCTTAAACGGGGCGGCAGTGGCTCAGTGGTTCATGTGGGTTGTCTATGAACCGAAAGGTTGGTGGTTCAATCCTCGATTCCACCTGACCAAGTGTCGAGGTGTCCATGAGCAAGACACCTAACCCCAGCTGCTCCCGACGAGCTGGCTGGCGCCTTGCATGGCTGACACCGCCGTCGGTGTATGAATGAGTGTATGAATGGGTGAATGTGAGGCAAAAATGTAAAGCGCTTTGGTGGCCATTAGGTTTATGAAGGCGCTATATAAATGCAGTCCATTTACCATTTAAACAATCGCCTGATGAGCTGAATGAGCCCTTCTTTGATCACTGCAATCGCCTCTATAATCCTGTACAGTAAAATATATAAGAGGGATTCGGGCTCGAATCTAAGACTTGGTGTGACGTCATGCACGTTCGCGCTCGCCTGGCCATGTGTCTGGCAGGTTCGTGTAGCTATTCGCCGCCGTTCTCCGTATCAGAGAAGACAACTCGAGCGACACAACTCTAGTCAGCTTTCCACAAAAGTAGACGATGGATTCAAAGGGGCTGTTTACACCTGGTCACTTCATGTGTTTTCTGTGATCGGATAGCTATTCGATCGTGAAAAGACCAGGGTGTCAATGCCCTCCGAAACGCATTCGAGACGGATTTGAATCCGATCGCTCATGAGGACGTGGTCTGGGCCGCATTCCAGACGAAACTGGACAAGTGTAAATGCATCTGGTTGTTGAAACCAAGCTATATGTCATGTTATTTTAGTCATATATGACGATGCGCATCACCTCAGATGAGCAGCTGAGCACCTTCATAAAGCCAGCGCGCCGCAATCTATTCGCAAATCAAAGTGAAAGTAAGTCGCAGACGCTTAACACTACCATCTTCATTAAAAGTAAAGAAATGAAATGATCTTACCAGGTCTGTTGCCGATCTCTCTTATTGCTGTCTTTGCTGATTTTGAAATTAGCCGATGATTAATAAAATCCAGCTCATATCTGTTGCTTTCGGTGACGTGCACTTCATTAAATCTGTATATGGCGCGGAAAGAGACTGGCTTGTAGTTCATTACAAACCCCAACGCAAACTCCACGTGAGACAAAGAAAATAAAACTTCTGTCTGTCCAGTGCCAGGCGTCGGAATAAGACGAGAGTCAACATCGGGAAGGCTTTCAACAAACGGAGAGATCTCCGGTCGGCTCTAGGGCTCAAACGGGTCCTATACAAAGTGATAACTGAACGTGTTTCCATAATAATTCAATCATAAGTGGATACAGTAAGCACATGGAGATAGATGGAAACAAAAAACGAAGTTTTCTACTAACTTACCCCCGTCTCCCCCTCTCACACACATAAGTGTGTAATTTACTCGAATGCCTTTCCTTTCATATATTTTAAATGACTTGCAGATTTATTACTGTATTACCTCATTATGACTAACAAAAGATGTGTGCTGCACAGTGTACGGCTGATGATTCTTTGGTTATGAACAGCTCGTGCAAACGTGCGTGTGTGTGTGTTCCTCCATGAACGCGCACAGCTCTGGTTGCAGTTTCGCTTGTCGCCAGAGGGGGCGTAGTTCTGCAAAAACTCAGAGACTTGCGTTTAGCTCCTTTAAAAATGACGTCTCAGGTTATGACTACTCTGAGAACAGGGGCAAGACACTTTGGGGAACGTCTGAGCGTGACTGATGACTAAAGTACTGTATAATCATGGCAATCGTATTGGTCAACTAAAGCCATGACATCACTACTAGTGCGAACAGGAAGTATAAAAGGACTCCTAGAGAAAGGCCATCCACTTCTTCGTCTGAAGGGACTGTGTGAGCAGACTGGAGGCATGTCGACAAGACACAGTGTCTCGTTCCCTTTTCTCAGGGAACAAGGGTTACAGTCGTAACCTGAGACACTCCCTTTCGAAAGGGAACTCGCACTGCGTCCTGAGACACTTTGGGGAACGAAATACCCATGCTGAGGGAATGTTTGTCAATCATGACTGTGACAAGCACAAATACATTAACTACTGGTACGCACCAGGCTGTCAGTAGCACTACCTCCTATGGCCACTGCCGAGTTTCATGCTTTAATGAGGGAGCATCTTTGTGATTTCACACAAAGGACTAAGAGGAGGGTTCCTTTAGGGGGTATGGCCCAGACCCAAAGGGCTCTAGCCTGCTACTTTTCAGGGGGACCAATGTCAACCCCCATACCAGGGAGGCTATCATCAGCTGAAGCTAAAAACCTGCTTTCTTTGAAGAATGAACCTGACCACAGTCTCTAACCAGAGACAGATAGCGCCTCCACAGGGCTATGGGGAGTGGAGGCTTAAGCAGGATGACTCTTGAAGAAGAGGAGGCCTGCCACACTCACACCAATGCGGTCTCTAGTGTTTTCTCTTGGGAACGTGGGAACCGGCTAATCTCAGATATACACAACACAGAGCTCAGGGAGCAACGGGCCGACAAAACAACTCTGTTATGAGAGAGAGGCCTCTTCTCTAACTCAACCTGCAGGACACAGCTGTTTGCATGGAGCTCTGAGGGATGAGGCCTCAGCAGGATGACTCTAGATGAAAAGGAGGCCTGCCACATGGAAAGCAGCTAAGCCTAGATACCCAGAGCTAGAGCTCAGGGAGCGAAGGGCCTAAAGAAAGGCTCTCTGTTATGAGAGAGAGGCCTCTTCTCTAACTCTACCTGCAAAGACGAATCTGTTTGCATGGAGCTCTGGGGAATGGAGGCCTCAGCATGACGACTTTCTGATTAGAGGAAGCCTACAACACCCATATACCTTAGCAATGAGGTCACAAGTGACATACTCTGCATGATGAGTACTAAAGTCTGTATCTGGGAAGCCTTGTCGTTTGAGGGAGGCTTTAACTGGAAGCTGGTCACTTTGACGCATCCTGCTTGCTCGGAATATAGAGGCCAAAAACCCTGTGAAGGCCTGCTATGATACAACCAGGGGTGAAGCAAATTGACCCTCTTAAACAAGGGAAGTACCGAGGCTTACCCGGCGGCTTTCGGTGAAACAAGACTCTCTGTAGAAATAACTTCTTCACAGAGGAGAGTACTATCTATGCTACTTTGGAGGGCCCTGAAGGGCCACAAACACAATGTTGACTTCAGAGCCCTTGGGAGCTGCTAACACAACGTTGTTACGTTTTACACCAGCTCAACCTGAGGCACTTACTGTACGGGATGCCCAGAGAGGGCTAACAACTCACAAAAGTGTGAAAGGAGGTTCATGAACCAGACTGCTTACATAAACCATTGGCGATATAGCTAGCTTAGCCTGGGGTGACACACTCAGCGGTCACCTTCTTTAGGGGAGGTGCTGGGGTTTGCGTTTAGAGCAGCCTGATTCTCAGAAGGCTCTTCTCTTCAGGGCTAACATCCAAGGATATCTAAGGCATATCCTGGGGCTTGTGCACAGAGGCTCTAGGGAGCAACATGCTCTTCAAAACAACACTCTAGAATGACAGGAGTAACGATAGCTCGACCACAGGGGCCAGTTGCATAAACTACTAAGACTAGTCTTACAAGTTAGTCGTCCAATTTTTTTCTTTAAGACTGTTCATAACTTTTTTAAGTTAGTTACATAAAAATGTACATTGTTCTAATTTGATACTGAACAGTAAGACTGATTACCCCAAACTAACTGCTAGTTGATCATACTAGTTCTTTAGACACTGTCTTAACATAATGGCTATGTTAATTAGGGGTGTAACGGTACATGTATTCGTATTGAACCGTTTCGGTTCGAGGCTTCCGGTTCGGTACGCATACAAACCGAACGATTGCTTGGACCATTTTTCCTGCCGGCAAAATTCGTGCTGACGCGGCCAACACAAGGTTGCGCAACATCAAATGGCAAGCGTAATGAAAGCAGAACAAAACTGCGCTACTCGTTATGTGCTTCACGGATCGTTTATCAGTTCGGACCAGCAACATCTGTGCAGCGCGAGCCGATCTCAATCAAGCAACACTGTTACTACACCGCGCTAAGAGATCCGGTAAAGAAAACATTTGAATTCGCCACTGAGGTAATAACATCGCCGCGAGATCTAGTGAGATGCATTCACATTTCTCCGTTATTAACCGTAGATCTCTATTAGATCAAACAGCGCTGTCATGGAAACCAGGAGAAACATTGTGCTGTGAATGAACTAGTAATACTTTACGTCCACAGACCAGCAACATTCACCATGGATTTAATATAGTAACACTAACTGGAACCAGTTTGGCTGGAATGGTGAATTGC